GAAGGAAGGTTGGGCAATCCTACTTCCATAGTGATACTGCCTCGGAAACCCAAGGAGGGGTCACTATGAGTCGGGGCCGACTTGACGGCACATAACAACAACAACAACATTGATTTTGTCAGGAATAAGCACTGATTTTAGAAAAACAAAACATTTGGCTGCACTTCCTTTCACTCAACTCACTTGGGGGGACTGAGGAAGCACGGGCTCTTGATTTGAAGCTCTGACATCCTTTTCTGTTGTTTAACTATATTTCTAAATAAATCAGTGTTGACTGTTTTCTTTTCCACGGCCAGACCTGCTTCTCTTTCTTGGCACGAGGCTCCCTTCCCCCACTGACTTCTTCCCACGTTCTCTTAGCTTCTCTGGCTCTCTCCCTCCCCTTCTACACACAAATCCAGACACATACCTTCCCACCACACACCCATATGCAAAATAAAATTAGAAATATCACCCAACCTTCAAGGTCTTTAGGGAATGAAGATCTTCAATCAGTAGAGCTGAATCAAAGCACTCCAGGCTCCCTCCCCTTCAGGCCAGGGTGAGAAGCAGGGAGCTTATGAAAGGGGCCCAGACAGCCAGGATATTGGCAGGAAGCTGCTTTGAAGGGGAAAGGCCATCTGTGCTTCCCTGTGTCTGCCCTGTAGCCACTGGAGTCAGAGCTACCAGAAGCAAACACCTGGCATGCTGTTCGTTTGCTTGTTGGAGTCTCTTTCACACTATGAAAAGGTTCCCTGGCCCCTTTTTCATTTTGATGCACACTGCCAAAATGCAAAGATAACATACCCAGTGATTCAGAAATAGAGGCTGAGCTGATAAGCACATGACCCTCGTTTCCAGGGATTGCATTGCCTTATGCTTGCCTTCACCAAGAGGAGTAGAACAGGTAAGCGAGCTATGACAGCCCAGGAAACTGAGGACAGTGATGGCATTGATATTTCTGCAGTGCTGCTAAGGCATTCTCTGCCTACCTCCTTTTGACACTGCCCAGTGTCACCACCTTCTTGGTAGTCCCCACTTCAGAACAGTGAAGTCAGGGAATGGAATAGGAACAAGAAAGTGGAGGGTGAAGCTCCAGGCAGAAGCTCCAGGTCTGTGTCGGGGTGGCCTCTTTGTTATCCCCCTGTGTCCCAAATCCAAGCTCCCTCTGAGTCTCAGGGTGACACTGGATTGTGTAGAAACTGAGCCCAGGAGCCCTAGTGCCAGAAGTGAGTTCAAAGTCAGGCTCCACCATCTACCTGCTGGATGACCTTGAGTGTGTGACAGCCTTTCTGAACTTCAACCTCCTTATCTGTAGAATGGGACCCCAGAGTTTCCCAGATCCTGTTGAGAGCATTGATGGCGCTGTCTCATGCTAAAAGCACAGTGCCTGGTATGCAGTAAGGGCCTAATAGTGTCGGTAATTGGAACTAATAGTCAAATAGTGTTCACCAAGTACAGGCTCTAATTAAGGGCTTTGCATACACTGTCATTTAATCTTCACATCTCTACAGATGAGGAACGTGGATTCCAAGATTATGCAGTAGGGAATACTGGCCATTCAAATCCAGGCAGATAGGCTCCGGAGTTGAGGTCTCAGCCCTTATGTGCACAGCCCTTCAGAAGAGATGACTATGAGCTCCAGGAGAGTTGCCCCTGGCCAGCTGAGCTCTCAAACCCCTAGGGTTCCCTTGGTCCAAGCAGATAGCAGGGAGGGTTGCTGGCCTTAGAGGGGAGGGGAGGCGACGATGACGGCTAGAGCATCCTCATCAGGGCTGACTCCCCCAGCTGGAACCGGCGGCTGAAGTCAGGCAGGGTGCCCCAGCCCGCTACAGAGAAACCGGGAGCAGGGGGTGGGGTAAGGTGGAGGGTGGAACGAGAAGGATGACCAGAGCACCGCCCCCGGAGGGAAGGGAGGGGCGGCGGGGCTGGGGGTGCCCAGCTGCCATCCCCGCCGCCTCCTGGCCCCCGCCCTCTGGCGCCCCAGTGGGAGGACGGCAGCTGCCCGCTCCCTCCTCCCCACACCCCCGCTACCTGCCCAGTCCCCGAAGCGAAGCGTGAGGAGGCAGCGAGCCAGGCGGGCCGAGCCCACAACTTTGCAGGCTTGAGAAGGGCGAGTGCAGGCGTCCACAGCTCCCCTTGTCGGCGACCGGAGCTCGGTGAGTGCATTTCCCCAGTCCTTTGCGGCGGTGCCGTGGCGGCGACCAGGAGGCGGCTTCCCGGGCGTCCGGGAGGCGGTGGCCGAGCAGCTGGCGGCCGCCCGCGCTGCCTGCCTGGCTGGGGCTCTGGCCGTGCGGCTCTCTGCCGCGGCCGAGGCGGCACGGGTGCTGAATGGACAGCTCGCCGCGACCCGCGTCCGCCGCCGCCAGGGCGGCCTCGGCTGTCCACACCTCGGCGCAGGGCCCGGCCGCGGCCGCCCGCGAGTGCCCCTCACTCTCGCATCCCTGTCCTTCGCCTTCCCGGAGCCGCGGCGCATCTGGAGGCAGCTCCTGCGCCCCCCTGGCGACCGACGCGGGGAAGGCACTTGCTTCTCCCGAGCCCGGGGCTAAGGGCTCCCCGAGGTGGGCAGCGCCGCCGCGGCCCCCCGGAGGCGCAAGGCGAGGGCGATGCCGAGCCTCCAGCTACCACCCCGAGCGTGTTCTGCTGTGCGCCCCTTCTGCGGAGACGAGCCCGCGCTCTCCGCGGCGGCCGCGGGTCCTAAGGGGCATTGGCACCTGCAAAGGGGACTCCAAGGTGATCAGCCGCCCAGTCCCGACGAAACAGCCTGGACCGAGGCCCTGTGGCATCCTCCCACCCTGGGCGCAGCCGCCTTCCCAGAACTTTTCTCGTGCCTCTGGATGGCCGACTCCGTAGCCCCTGGAAAAGTTCTTTGGGGCGCCCGGAATTCTGTTTCCCAGGAGCTTCTGAAGCTGGACAGGAGCCGGGGCTGCAGGTTACCGAGTGGGGTGGGGATGCGGCGGGGTCGGCTCTCGGCGGCGGGGGCCCGATGCCCGGAAAGACTAGACAAGCATCAGCTCGCGCGTCCTGGGCAGGCTTGTCGGCAGCGAAAGGGTCTCGTCGCCATGGGGGTTGTTTGGGTTTCTCGCGCCAGGAAGGCGGGAGACAGTCGCGAAGAGGGTGTGGGATTTTAATTTCGTCGCCTCAAATAAAAACGCTCTTTGCAAAGAAATAGCCAGGGCAGCCATCGTTGGAGAGATGATCTGCCCAGGGCCTGCTGATACGGGTATTCCGACCGCGCCCCCCCCTCCACCCGGTGCCTCAGCGCTTGTGTGAGGGAATCGATTATTTTAATTGATTTCTTTAATGCCAGGTGGCAGCGGCTGCGTGTATGCGTGTGTATACACACAGACATAAATACAGACAGATACCCAGGCGCACTCAGATTACACGTAGTCAGACACAAGGAAACACACACACACAGTCACACATACACACACACACACACACACACACACACACACACGCTCCACGGGCCTACATGCCCACATACCTCCTAAGAGGGTACCGTGAGGTCCCTGCACTTTGTCTGGGGAGGGGGCGAAGTAGGACGTCCTGCAGGCCAAATGGTGCACTACCCTTTGCTTTCCCCACCCCACCCCAAATCCTTGGCCTTCTCCTCCCAAGGGGATCTGAATGAGAAATCTCAAACTCACCCTCGTTACCACCGCCATAAAGGAGAGGAGCTCTCAGCCCCGTCCCCCACCCCTACTAAGCGCAAACAAGCAGCTCTTTCCCTCCTTGTACCTGACCCCTGGACGCCAAGGCGCCGAGATCGCGCAAAAACCATGAGAGCCGGCGCCCTCGCCCCCCACCCCAGGCTGAGGTCTTAGAGGTCTCAAGCCTGCTTGCCCCCAGGTGAGGGAAGTGGGAGGGGTGATTGGAGGGGGAGGGGGAGAGGCGTGGATTTGCCCGGAGCCAGAACGTGCGGCATCGCCCGAGGAGCGCGCGAGGGCGCCCCCTGGACGACGCGGTAAGTAAGTCTCTCTTTCGCCCCGCGTCCTGCAGGAATGTGAAGGAGGATGCTGGCCCTTCGGCTGCTCAACGTGGTGGCCCCTGCCTACTTCCTGTGCATCTGCTTGGTGACCTTCGTGCTGCAGCTCTTCCTCTTTCTGCCCAGCATGCGCGAGGACCCCGCGGCTGCCCCGCTCTTCTCGCCAGCCTTGCTCCACGGGGCTCTCTTTCTATTCCTCTCTGCCAACGCCCTGGGCAATTACGTCCTGGTCATCCAGCACTCTCCGGACGACCTGGGTACCTGCCAGGGGACCTCGGCCACGAGAGCTCCATGTTCCCCGCCCAGCACCCACTTCTGCCGAGTGTGCGCCAGGGTCACTCTGAGGCACGACCACCACTGCTTCTTCACCGGCAACTGCATCGGCAGCAGGAACATGCGCAACTTCGTCCTGTTTTGCCTCTACACCTCGCTCGCCTGCCTCTACTCCATGGTGGCTGGCGTGGCCTACATCTCCGCGGTCCTTTCCATCTCCTTCGCCCACCCCCTGGCCTTCCTCACGCTCCTGCCCACCTCCATCAGCCAGTTCCTCTCCGGTGAGTGGCCTTGGCAGGCGGGCTGGGTTCTACTCAAAGTCCCTCACACCCACCCCTGAAATTGCTAGATTTAGCAAATAAAAACACAAGACACCTAATTAAAATTAAATTTCAGATGAACAACACATAAATTTTTAGTATAAGTGTGTCCCCTGCAATATTTGGGACAGCCGAACTCATTGCCATCAAGCCAATTCCAACTGATGGTGACTCTGTAGGGCAAAGTAGAACTGCTCTATGTGGGTTCCAAGGCTGTGATCTTGACAGAAGCGGAATACCAGCCATATCCTTCTCCTTCGGAGCAGCTGGTGAGTTCCAGTGGGTTCCAACTGCCAACCTTTCAGTTAGCCGCCAACCTCTTAATCACTGCATTGGGACATACTTATACTATAGCAGCATGCCTTGTCTCTCTGAAATTCAGCTTTAACTAGTGTGCTCTATTTTATCTGGCAAACATTTCCCCCACCCCATCTATTATCTCTTCCTCATTGTCTCCTATTTGCTCATAGAATCATGGTGATCTGGGCAATACACCTACTCTGTGCCAGATGGGGCTGGGTGCTGGCTGTCCCCCCAGGCACCTCTGTGCAGTACACCCAGACCCTTCTCTGCCTGGACACCGGTCGTGCTCACACGTTCCCCAGGACTTTGCTTTCCAAAGGTCTCGCCAACCACCACAGGAAGGTTAAGCATGGTGCCAGCCCAGACCCACAGGAGGCCAAGCCCCCCACCCCCACCCACTCTGTTTGCCCTACCAGGTTCTTCTCAGCCTGCAGATGGCTCAGAGGAGACACTCTGGCTAAGCTGCAGGTGTGTTTAATGGCCATCTCCAACCCAAAGAGCCATGGGACTGATGTGCCATGGGACCCTCTAAGAGGCTCTCAGGCCTGCATGTGCCAGGCATATGAGCCACCACACTGGTGTCCAGCTGGGGACCCTGGTGAGGACTGCATTTTATAGAACATGCCTCGTGGAGTGATCTCTGACAACTGACCCTAGGAGGACCCAGTTTCTGGGTCCTCCTCACTTCTGGGTCCTCCTCACAGTTCTCCTCACTTCACCCAGCCCTGAAATTTGCCCCTACCTCATATCATTCCACTCCCTCCCCACCCTGGCCTTTGGTGGGCTTGGTATCACAATAGGTGGTGTGTGTGTATGTGTGTGTAATTGTTTCCCCATTTCTCAGGTGAGGGGTAACATTGGCCCAAGATCATATGACTACTGAGTAGCAGCGACTGACCTACCCCCAAGGTTTTGACCACAGTCTGATGCTGTATCCCTCACAGGGAATACAGCATGATCCCTCACTCACTGACCTTTTGGGGACAAAGACAGACAGGGTACAGCCACCTGCACTGAGACCCCAAGATTATCTTGATGTGCCTGATCTGGGCCTTCATAAAATCTCTGTTCTATTCTGGGGGAGCCATCATTCTGGTGCTTGTTGGGGCTGGCACGACTTTCTGCAGCCCATTTCTTCCCAAGCATAGAACTGTTGTGCCATTTGGCAGTGAGAACACAGAGGCCCAGGAAGGACCCAGCTATGGGGGCTGGCTGGAGGGATGGTGGATGAGCTGGGCCCAGAACTCAGAGCTCTCAGGCCTTCTGGATTTGGGTGCTGGCACAGGAGCTGCTGGAACCAAAATAATCAGGACGGGGGAGGGTGGATGGTGGGCTAGGGGGTGGGGTGTGAGCACAGGCAGGTGGAGGGATGAAGAGAGCCAAACAGCCTGATTAAACTTTCTTTTCCAAGTGGTTTCATCACACAAAGATGGGTGGTTGCAAAGGGAGGATCTTAAAATGATTTGATTCGTGATAAGCCTGGGCCTGAGGCCTGTCCATATGTGCCAGGTTTGGCAGATAGGAATAAAAGGAAGAAGGGCCTCTTGCTGATGAGAGAATAGAGCCAGTCTATACTTGCCTTGGAGCCCAGACCCCTGTCCAGCAGAAAGAAGGAGTCCCACTATCCTTCACCACTAGGAAAAAGGAAGCCAAGAATTCTAATCTCCAATCTCCCATTTCATCTACCTCCTTTGCCAGCCTTTCCTCTTTCCCCTGGCCAACCCTCCATCTTGCTTCTTCCCCATTCCACCTCCACCCCACTGCTCAGCTTCCCCTACTTGTTTCTTCTTTCCCAATGCTCAGTCCAAATGGTTGAGAGTACAGCCTCTCTCACCAGCCCAGAAGGACAGGTGGACAAGAAGGAATAAGAAGCCACAAGTCACTTAATAGAAAGTGAGTGTCCCAATCTCTGGTACTGCCCGAGTCAGATCAGCTGCCAACACTGGGATGTGATGGCTGTGAGCGTGGGCCCCGCGAGCTAGAAGTGGGAAGGGGTCTTCTAAAGTGAAGGTGGCTGCTGACCACAGGCCCTTGTGGCTGGCTGATGCCAAAGAGGTTGGGGACTGTCCAATTAAGATTTAGAAAGATGTTCTCTTTTGACTCTGTGTGACCAGTACAGGCTGTGTCACCCCTCTGAACCTCAATCTTCTCATCTGGCAAATGGAAATGATACCATCTGACCTGTATCATGGCAGTTGGATAAGTGCAGAGCATGGTGTGGACCACTGGAAAATCTAGTGGGAGAGAAAGGGAACTAGCATTTGATGAGCATCTATTCTGTGCCACCCGCTATGCATGTCTCATTTCATCCAATCCTCATGACAAATCTGTGAGGTAGGTATTATCATGTCCATTTTAAGAATGAAGAATCAGAGGCTCAGCAAGGTCAAGTTGCTTCAAAGCCACACACCTTGTATGATGCCAACCCAAGAATTGGATTCAGGGCTTCTAGTCTCCAAAGTTCATGATCTCTCCTCTGTACCACACTGCCTCTCTGGACCTCTCGCTGGAGCTGCTTCCTGATGAATGGACCACTTAGGGAGGGAGGGAGCTTCCTGTCCCCGGATGCGTTAGAGAGGATGCTGGGTGTTGGTCCGTCAAAGGAGCTAGAGGTGCTGGGAGGCAGGAAAGGGTGATTGGAGGGTGCGACCTTCTAGGCCCTTTAGGAAGAGTCTGTGGTTTTCTGAAAGAAGCATAACTATTATTAAATAGTTCAGAGGCACCACAGCCAGGCTAGGCAACTTCAAACACTTGAGAGAAAGCAGGTCCCCAGAATAGCTTTTTGTAGTTGCTGCATGGGGCCAGGAAAAGACTGCAAGGTCTTCTTCATGCCTTGATTTAGTGCCAGAAAAGAAGCCTGTGGGAAACAGCTTCCATCAGCCCAGGCTTGTCCCTGGGGCTGAGTTGCAAGGCAGGCCCAAGCTTGACAGCTTGATGTCTCATATCCCAGCTCGAGGGCTGTCTTTGCCTGTCAGCATTCCTCAAGCCCAAAGGGCTGCACGGCCTCATGGCCCTCCATTCTGCATGTGGCTACCCCAGCTCACCTGTGTGGACAGGGAAGAAGTGGGTCAGAGGGATGGCGCAGCCCAGTGTGAGCCCTGTCCTGCTGCTTCCTCCAGGCCTACGGAGGGCCCGCTGTACACACCAGATGGAGTGAGCTTTGCAACCCCTGGGCAGCTGGACTTGTCTCCAGCTTTGCAGAGAGAAACCTGCTTTCTATCAAGCTCTCAGGGATGAGGGTGTCTCTTAACAAGCAAATCTGAGCCAGGTCTGCATCCTCCCTGGCTGCTGAGTTTGCTTGCTGCTCAGACTAGACAAGTTTTAAAAGCCCAGCCTTCAAGGGTCTGGAAATTGGAGTCTGGGGAGACCAGGAAAGAGATGGGTTAGGAGAGTTGCAGGAAAGGAGGGTGTGGTAGAGATTTGTAGAGGCGGAACAGGAGTAAGGTGGGATCTCTGAAGCAGGTGGAGGTGGGATTGTCCTACAGGGAGAGGACAGAGGAGGGGTTTTGAGGTTTCTCCTGGGTCCGCTCCCCCAGCTGCTGAGCAGATGGTAGGTGTCTTCAGCTACCAAGGTTGCAGGAGCCCAAGCTCTGGAAAGGAGAAGGGGAAAGAAAGCTTGATGGTTTCAGGAGTTGAGCTTGAGCCTCTTTGGATCTGCTAAACGGCTCTCAGCACAGAGCAGAGCACTGAGTGCTGTAGCCATCTCAGCGCTGCAGGGAGGGAGAGGAGGGATGGACCGTGGCCCTAACTCTTCCTTAATGCTGACGGCTCCTGAGGCAAGAGGGGAGAACTGGGGACGAGGAGGAGAAAGGAGAGAGCTTGATGAGCTCAGTGACCCTTCAGCACACAATTTCTTGACTTATGTAACTCTAGGAGGTCAATATTATTATGCCCATTTTACAAATGAGCAGACTGAAGTTCAGAAAGGTTAAGAAACGGGTGCAAGTCCACACCACTGGGAAATTCAACCCTAGCATGGTCTGGCTACTCAAAACTTTGAGGGAGGGAGTGGGATCTATTCCACAGCGGATGCTTGAAAGCAGTAATGAAAAGGGGTTTAGGAGAGTCCATCCCCAAGGTAGGGGGCTAGACTGCATGCCCTTTGGGGGTCTCTTCCAGCCTTCGCAAGCTCAACTGATGGCCCAGCTGTGGCCTGATGTTCTGGTGGCCACACTGTCCTCTTGTTAACATCAATGACTGAATCATTCTCTACGCTCTGCGCTCCCTTGAGGCCCGGCTTGGGGTTTGTTCTGGATGACAAGGCCCTGCTCTCCATCATGCTCTCACTTTCCTGAGACCTCACAGCCAGTGCTCCCGGCTTCACAGGGAGAAGGCCTTGCAGTCCAGATAGGCTCCCAGGGGGTGGCTCCTTCTTTAGGGTCCCCAGCTCACCCTTCTCACTGCTCCCAGCCCAGAAAAAGCCAGCAAGCTGATGGGCATCCCTGACTCCGCTGACATGTTCCCCGCATCCAGGCACAGCCCAGGGGGGCTGAGGGGTCCCCTGGCTGAGCTCATCAAGCTCTCTCCTTTCTCCTCCTCGTCCCCAGTTCTCCCCTCTTACCTCAGGAGCCATCAGCATTAAGGAAGAGTTAGGGCCATTGGTCCATCCCTCCTCTCCCTCCCTGCAGTGCTGAGATTGCCACAAAATGTAGCTTCTGTCTCATTAATCTCCCTCCTTCCCAGCAGAAAGCGCCTGCCTGGATCACATTCTGTACGTGGCCTGGGTGTAAAGCGGCTCGGTGTCTCCCTTCCCCCCACAGGAGCTGTCCTCGGTTCTGAAATGTTCGTCATCCTCATGCTCCACCTCTGGTTTGCCATCGGTCTGGCCTGCGCCGGCTTCTGCTGCCACCAGCTGCTGTTGATCCTCCGCGGACAGACCCGCCACCAGGTGCGAAAGGGGGTGGCGGTGCGGGCCCGGCCCTGGCGCAAGAACTTGCAGGAGGTCTTCGGGAAGAGGTGGCTGCTGGGCCTGCTGGTGCCCATGTTCAACGTCGGAAGCGAGAGCGCCAAGCACTGGGACAAGTAGCAGGCCCTGCCATCATCTCTTCCTCTCTGTGTCTTGACTCCTCCTGAATATAACACCACACATCCTTGAATCCACCCATGACCCACTACACCGCTGGTCTGTGACCCGTAGAGAGTATCGTTGGCTGGTGGATCATGGCAAGGAGGAAAATGGCCACCCAGGCATTGCTGGGTTCCCCGCAAGCCAGCTAGGTGGCTGCTAACTCTTAGGATGTCTCTGCTTTTGTTTCTTCTCTTTGAGGGGCGGGGCGGTCCCTGCTTTCCCTCTCTGCCTGGCCCATCCACTCTCTAACAAGTCTGAGGTCATCACTGCTGTCTGTTAGAGGCCTTCCTGTCAACCGCCATTCTGGGATGGGGGGAGCAAGTAGTGGATTCTTGCTACTGGTAGGAGGGTCTCCTGGACCTTGACTGGCAAAAATTGCTTAGAATTACCGTGTGTGAGAGGCAGCCAAGTCCCCCCTGCCAGCTGCTGGGGAAGTTGGGGAAAGATGGGTGTGTCCTCATCCCCTCTGTGGAACTGTAGGCAGTGAGGGGAAAGAGAACTCACCTACTCACCCCCCAGCCAATCAGAGCCCTTTCTCTGGGGGATGCCATCGATAGCCTAGTATTTGCAGCTGCTGTCCTCCTGTCCACACTGCTTCAGCTGCTACCCCAGCCCAGTCCCAACCTAGCTGAATGCTTGCATTTCTTGGCACTCTTCCAGCCTTTCCCCTTGGTCTCCAGCCTCCAGGTCTTTGCTGGGAAGGTAAGGAGGGAGGAGGAGGAAAAGGGGAGGTGCAGATAAATGAAGGAGGCATGTGACTTGCTGCATAGATGGAAAGGCAGTAGATGTGTGTGTGTGTGTGTGTGTGTGTGTATGAGACAGAAAGAGAGGGAGAGAATGTGCTGCTTTGGTGGTGAGGAGCATTGTTGCGGACATACAGGGAGGAGGAGAGGGTCACGCAGAGGCTGGGATATTTGGAGAGTCATAGGAGGGGCAAATGGGCTCCTTTCTTCCCTGTATAAAGGACATTCTAACAGCTAACTTAGTTCAGTGCTGGAATGGCTGCCTGGGGAGGTAGCAGGGACACGTGTCCACCACTGGAGGGGTCCAAGCAGGGAGTGAGCAGTCATCCTGCGAGGGATTTCTGCACAGGGTCAGCCTGGACAAGCTTAGCCATCTTTCTCGCCCTGAGACTCTGGCATCCTCTCCACAGTTCCAAGTCCAGAGGCAAGGTCTGCAGAGATGCCCATAAGGTATTTGTTTCCTGATGCCGACTTTCAGGACCCAGCCCAGCCACGGAGGAGAGTCTCTGGAGAGACAGGACTACCTGCATGTTAATGTTAGTTGAGGGGGCTGGAATTTGGGGACAGGGAGATGGAGTGGTGTCAGGGTCAGATGGGGGCAGTAGCAGGGAGAGAGAAGCCAGAAAGTCAAACTCAACTCTGAGGGGAACATTAGGAGAGCTGAGGCTAAGGAAGGGGGAGACCAGGATGTAGGGGTGCAATTGCCATATATCCCTGCTTGTCTGACTGGCTCTGGATGGGGAACTGCTGTGGGCTCCAGAACCCAGAGGGCCAGACTCCTGGGCATATGAAGGAGTGGGGACAACATGAGCACCCCCACCCTGACTGGGTCTCAAGGCCAGTCTGCTGTCCCTGCAGGCAGCAGGGCTGAAGCTCACACCCCTGTGGTGCCCTGACCATGGCCACGGTGACCTCAAAGGTTGCTGCACAACACCCTGGGTTCACAAGCAAAGCCCGGGGGCACTTCACCCCATCCTGCCTTCACTCCCTAGAGGGCTAATGTGGTAATGACTTGACCCCCTTATATTTCTCCCTACCACATATTTTATTTATTTATTCATCCTCCCTACATGTATTTCTTGAGTGTCAGTTATGTGCCAAGTCCCTTCCAGGCACTGGTGATACCGTAGTGAAGAACAGGATGAGATTTCCACCATCAGGGGCACTGTATTTGTCACAGCCCCCTGTGCACTCACTTCCACCCCTCGAAATATGGCCACTCTGCCATCTTGATGGTCAGCAGGGAGGTCACTTGGGAAGCGGTGGCAGAGAGGGCTGAAAGAGAACCAACTCATGCTGCTGGCCAACAAGCCTTGATGGAGGAGTCCTGGGGGGCTCCCCACTCCAATTCTGGACATACTTTAGCACCCCACACCTGGGGTGGGAAGGGGGAGGAGGAAAGGGCCCAGGGAATCCAGGCCTTGGCCTTCTCCTGACCCCATGCTCAAGCTTGGAAGCCATCCCATCCACTCTCAGCCTCTTGGAGGCTCAGCACTGTGAGGCCCAACACAAGGAGGAGGGCAAAAGGGAGACCCGCAGGGGAGTGGGCTCCTGGTTGATGGGTCAGTGGCGGTGATGGTGGGGAGGTTGCCAGGTGTGGGACTTGAGTAGCATTTGTACATGTGGCCCTGTGTTGTATATAATAAACTATGTGGTTTTAAATTGGATTTGATGTGATCATATGGGTACTGTAGTTGGTTTCACGGCTGATACTCCCTGGAATGCACTGGTGTGGTCATACTGGTTGATGATATATTTTAAATAAGTGTTAAAAATATTTCTGTCCCAGTTGATCACTAACCATTGCTCAGATTCCCTAAGGGGCCCAACCCCGCTGCCCAGCTGGGCCTGCTCAGCCCCTAAAAGCCCTGGCTCGCCTCACAGCCCACCAACTAAAGGGGTAACACCTGGCACCTGCATGGGCCCCAGGACCCTGCTCCAGCCCTTCAGCCAGGATTGGTCAGGGCTGTGCTGTGAGGTTGGTAAGTATGTGAATGCCCACCCCCCCGGTTGATAACAGGTCTATGGTACTGGGGTCTGTGGACCTGCAGGGACCAGGGATGGCATGTCTACCTTGGAACTTAGCTTTTCCTCCTCCTCCTCCTCCTCTTCTTCCTCTCCTTCCCATCCCATGTCAGAGGGCAGGTGGGGAAGAGAATGGAGAGGAGAGTCCATCTGCCCCTGCTTCCCAGCCCTAGCTGACCACCCCTGAGGATCAGCAGGAGCCCCTGCCCTCTCAGCCCCTACAACACCTGAGACGGTGGAGGGCCAGCTCCGGGGGCAGCACGGAGGGAGTGGAGCCCTGAGTCCGGGAGTGGGCGTGGCCTCTGATGCAGGCCTTGGCTGAGGGAGGGCGCAACTGCCAAGTGCTGCTTCTATTTGGGCTGCAGAAGAACCTCCAGCCTAGGCCAATATTGTGATGATCTGCATTCCTTGAACATACCCCACCAGGGAACCCCCAAATGTGCTGGGGGAGTGGGATGAAAGGATCTGTGATTAATCTACAGCAAACTCCAGAGCCTGGGGTGCCCTCACTCTACAGGACAGACACCACGGGTGGCTTGTCCACCATTGTATCCTTGATGCTCACTGTTCTGGTTACCTAGCGCCGCTCTGACGAGAATATACCACAAATGGGATGACCTTAACAAACAGGAGTTTATTCTTATAATTTGGAGGCTTTAAGTCCAAGTTCAAAGTGCCAGGCTCTACGGGCTGAGTGAAAGCCCCTCAACCGTGGGGTCCAACTCTGCATCCTGCTCCCAGCCCACTGAAGCTAGAAGTGTTTCTTCACTCAGATAGCTGCTGGCTGCTGAAGCTGAGAAGCCCAAGGTTGACAAATAAAAAGGCATAGTTCCGATATCACATGGCAGGCCATTAATTCAAGTCCATTGTAAGTCCCCAGGTCGGCAGAGCATAGCAGGCTGCTGAGCAACGACACGGCTACATGCAGGGTCCAAGTGTGCCATAGGCTAGAGACCATTCCCAAGACTGCTTCTTACATATAGGAAGCAGACCACATACCCAAAACAGCTACTCAGCTGCTCCCAGTAGATCCCACAAGATGGGAACTTGTGGTAGATCCCATCGAGCTGACTGCCAGTCTCATCATGGGGAATAACTACCACCAGCTGCCCAGCCACTCAACCAGGCCCAGCCAAGTTGACACAAAAACATAACCACCACACCTACCTAGCAGGGGCTAGGCACACATTGTTGTTGTTATGTGCCGTCGAGTTGGACCCGACTCATAGCGACTGCTCCTTGGGTTTCTGAGGCAGTATCACTATGGAAGTAGATTGCCACATCTTCCTTCCGAGGAGTGGCTAGTGGGTTTGAACCGCCAGCCAGCCTTCTGGTTAGCAATCAAGTGTTAAACCACTATGCTACCAGAGCTCCTAGGCACATAGTAGATGCTCAATAAATACTGACTGAGTGAATACACAGATTTTGTGCTCATTCACCCACTCCACACCTCTTATTCTCCTGATGTGCCGAGAGCTGTGTTCTGCATATTTTGAGTGTAGAAGACGTGTGAGACTGCTTTGTCCTTGAGGTGCTCACAACCTGGGAGAGGCTCCTTGGACTGCACCAGGGGTGCTCAGAGCAGGGAGAGAGCATGTCTTCTGGCCAGGACCAGGGAGGTTCCATTGGTGTAGGTTCTGGAAGATGGATGAGATTTCAGCAGATAGAGATGGTCAAGGAGGCTCTTCAGGAAGAGGGAACAGGCCTGGATGCTCAGGATGATCATAGGGAACACCACAAAGAAGGCAGAGGGAGTCAAGGCTGAGAGTTGGGAACAAACAGAGAGGGCCTTGAATGCCAAGCTAAGAAATCTAGAGTTAATTCGACAGGCAATAGGGACCCACAGATGGAGTCTGAGCAAGGGAGTGGCATGATTAGAGCTAGATTTCAGCCAGTGAAGCCTTGGAGGGTAGACTAGAAGTGGTAGAAACTGGAGGTTGAGGGACCAGCCTATGAGGCATTGGTCTGAGTGGTCTGGGTGGGGATAGTGGCCATGGGCTGATAAGTAGGGGAAGGGTCCCAGACATGACTAGAGTATGCCAAGGAGAGGGCCCAAGATGATACAGGTTAAGGATAACAAAATCTGTGTTTTTCAGTCAGCATTTTCTGAGCACCTACTCTGTGCCTAAGGAGCTCTGGTGGTACAGTGGGTAAAGCATTTGACTGCTAACCAGAAGGTTGGCAGTTCAGACCCACCAGCTGCTCTGCAGGAGGAAAACGAGGCAATCTACTTCCACAAAAAATTTATAGCCTTGGAAATCCAATAGGGCTCTCTATGAGTCAGAATTGACTTGAGGTGGGTTTGGGGTTTTTTGGTTTTCAGTCTGTGTCTAGGTACCTCAAAAGACAGACCATCAGGAGTACTGGGATGCGAAGAAGATCATGACCCTGGGGCTCAGGACCACCCAAAGCACTCGCCCCTATCATTAACCATTGGTTGGCAGTTGATGGTGTCATTCTTAACTAACCATTCCTCAGCCTTGCATAGAGGGAGGAGTTTGACCAATGGCTCAGGAGACATCTGCAGGTCATACTTGGCAG